AATAGACTCGGAACGAGTGTTTAGTTATGTCGATGATGTGTTGCGTCCCGACAAAAGTGTAATGAAACCTGAAAATGTAGTGAAAATATCTCATCTCAAAATATTGCTCCATTCTCTCAATTTGTAAGTGTTTTAACTTATTTTATTTTAAATATTTTTTATCATAAAGTTTGATAATAAATATAAAAATGGATTATTAAAAGTGGTAAATATATGCGTTTTTATGTGAATTATAAATTAAAAACAAAAATTGGTTTGGGGGTTAATTTTTGTTTATTTTATGCTTTTTTTATCAATAATTATATTTTTTGTTAATTTTACTTTTGTGTTATTTTTTAAGTTCTGTTTCTTTTTTGGTATAGTTTTTCAATTATTTATAAACTAAATTGAGATTATTTATAAGTTCTATGTCTTGGCTGTTTTCGGTTCTTGGTACAAATTTTGATATAATAAATAATAAACAAAAAACTTACATAATATAATAAAATATAACACGTGGACAATCGGGTGCGTAGCCTAAACATTTTAGACAGTCTTCATATTATTAATAATTATATAAATTTAACTCCACTTATACAATAAAACAATTAAATTTTGTTTTCTTAATATCTTTCTCATAATTTTCTTGTGTTCTCTATGCTTCTCCTTGTTCTAACAATAATAACGCTTGTTCATTAATTATATTTGGACACCCCCATGAAAACCATTTTCAAATCTTTTACTGCTTCCAAATTCTGCACATTAGCCAGTTTTGAACACATTTGAAAACAAATCAATGAACAAATCCCATTATTTGCGATGTTAATACTTTCTAATGAGACGCACAAATAAAATGCTCTCTCCCCAATTATATTGACATTTTCAGGAAAGTTGAGTTGTTTGAGTTTTGTGTACGATTATAACGCTTCTTGTTCGTTTTTTTAAATTAAGGGTAAAAATACAACTTTACTGAGATTGCCACAAATTGAAAAACAGCAACCTTCAACGACTTCTAAGTAACGTGGAAGAGTGATTTCTCATAATGAAGTACACATCTCAAAGGCAAATTCACCGATATAAGAGACATGTATTGAAAGCTCAAGACTCTTAAGTATAAAGCAATTGTAAAAAACTTTTATTGACAATTTCCTTGATGTGGGAAGGTAGGGACACATAACTTTAATTTTCACGATCACAGAATATAGAGTTTCCTATTGTAACCACACGACTGGGGATAGCACAGGATGATATATATTTATTACAAAAAGTGTTGTTTGAAATACGACTAACTATTTATGGAATTTCATCATTTGTGTTTGCGTCACTCGAGTTAAACTCAACAAATGGTTAATGTATTTTACTATTTTGTTGTGTTTTAGTTGTTGTGTATTTTACATAGTATTGCACAGAGCGTAGTTCAACTTCAATATCGTTAAAAAATTCATCATCATATGTATATAAACATTATATATTATAATTAATTGAATATCAATTTAAAATGTAAAAAGTGTGATAAAAACAAAATAACAATAAAACACAAATAATAAAAAGTTATTTAAGTTAATAAACAACAACACTTTTTGGTGTGAATTTGTCATTATCAGTCAACTGGTTGTGTTTGGCAGTGTACACAGATGGTGTGCAATAACCCACGTCCTTGCCTTTCTTGAACACCGCTATATCGTCATTTTTACTCAATGCAAATAGATATATAGATGTTTGAAAACCAATATACAATTCACTACATTTGTAATCTCCACTTTTCCAAAACTTTTTTGTATTCACAATTCCATTTCTCATGAGTGAAAAAATATATGAATTGTTACTGTTAATATTATTGCCAACAGCATTAATATTACCGGTGTACACGCCACCAAACTTGTTGTGATTTGTGTCTTCTACCAAAAAGTACAAGTTGCTCTTGTTAATAACTTTTGCATCAAATACTGACTTGTTTGTTGACCAGTCGTCTTTGTCAGAGTCAAACACAACATTTTCAATCTTCTTTCCTGTCAATTTCTCAAGACCGTCTTCTTCATTCAGTGTGATGTGTTTGCGTTTCATTCTTTTTTATATTTTTGCTCTTTTATTTTTTTCGCTGCAATGAAATGTTTAATTCCATTGACTAAGTTGTACTTTGCTTGTATAATATTGTTGATTGGTCTTCAAATGGTTTTGTGTCGACTTTGTATTTTTCCTCAAGAAGTGCTATTCTGACATTACATATCTCAAACAACTTATCTTTGTCATTTTGCGATAAATACGTAACTATTTCACTTTTGATTTTGTTTGATGTGTTGTCCAATTTGTCAACAAAATTGTTAAGTGAAGTTTTAATATTATTCTTCTTTGCAACTATCTCATCAATCTTGTCGAAGTGTCCCTCTGCATTTTCAATGCGCTGTATTATGTCAAGTGACTTGTCATCAACAAAAATTGAATCCATTTTAGATTTGTGGAGGTATGACACTGTTTTTGTTTCTTTTATGCAAAGCGTTTTAAGTGCATTCAATTCGTTTTCCGTTGTTTGTTTTTGATAGCTTTACATATTTATAATTTATATGACACTAATAACTAAATATGTGTTTAATTTATTTTTAATAAAAAAAAGAAACATGTTTATGAGATTTTATAATTTTTATAAAAATTTTAAAAAAATTTTAGAATATTATTTAATTTTACTATCAATTTTTTATAATAAAGTACTTACTTATAGTCGGGCGATAAAGGGTTAATTTGAGACAGAATTGGTTAATTTGAGTAAAAAACTATAAAATATAATTTTTTTAACCATAAAAGTATTAGAAGGGTTTTTTTAATTAACTACTTTGAAGATAATAAAAGAAAACTATAACTTTTTTATTTTAATATAATTCAGTCTTTGAAAACAATGGAAGAAGAAGAGAACGGAACCCTCGATAAAACAACCACAGGCAATCAACATAAAAAAGCAATTCAAATACAAGAAACCAGTTTAATAACTGTATTTCAATATATATTCATGATGTATATGGTTAAAAAGCCAGAGTTTAATGAATTAACTACAATGTCAATCCTTCAAAGTGTCATGGAATCACTGAAAATTCATCATTTGTTGAAATCTTTCGATTTTTCGTTGTTGAACCATTCCCATTGAGAAAGGAAAAGAGAAAGACCATTTTAACACCAAAACAATTGAAGTTGAAGAAGAGCAGAAAAGAAATGAGACAAAGGAAAAAACAAAAGAAAAATTCTTTAACAAAACAAGTTTCAGACTTCCACAAAAAGTGTTGCGTTTTAGACTTTCACATTTTTCTAAGTGAACAAATTGAAATGTTTTTGTTTATTTTTGAAATAGAAATTGATAATTAAAGTAGGGGGAGTGAAGGGCTTGACGAAACTGAGGGGCTTGACCTATACTTTTATTATTTTTTTACTATACAGAGTTTTCCCGGTTCTATTTAAAAAATAACAAAAACTATAAATATTTTATAAAAAATGTCAAAGAAAAAGATTCTTAGCTTATCAAAATAAAATTAAACGTTTTTTTTTGAAAAGAAAAAGTAAACAACCTCATTGTTATGAAGAAAAATGAACGGCTTATTTTCATTGTTTGAAATAACCAAGAATTAATTCACAAAGTTTTAATTATTTATGTTTCTACGACAGCACAAATACAACTTCTATCTACAAAGGATTTCCTTTAGCAATAATAGACAAGTTGTTCCTCACACAAGCCAATTCGTCTCACCATTTGGCTTGTGTATTTGGAGTTGTTAAAACACCAACTTATTGAATACTCTGACAATTAAAGATTAATTGACGCCAATTTCACAGTAACTGAAGACAGCGAGGTTCAAATTGAATTGATTTTTGGATGAAAGAATATGGTGATAGTGATGGAAGATAACGACAAGTTCTAAGAGAACAAGGGGAGCTGAGAGAGCATATTTGTGTTTCAATAGATCGTCATACTAAAAAAGTGTTGGAGGCATTAGAGAGCAAAGCAACAACAACATCATTGTTGCATCATATAAGAGTTCTGGTGTTGTTGTAGTCAATATTGGCAAGATCAAGAGAATGTTCATTTTATCGAAGAGGATTCCATGTTGTTCCAAGAAGACAACGTTGTTTATACCATAGAACACTTGGAATTGTTTGTTCTTCCGCATATACCAACATATTTGGTCAAATCCGAAGAGGAAAGTTTGCCTTCCAATATCCAAGAGCTAAACCAACAACAAGAACCATATCAAACAAGAAGACTGACGCCTACAGATGACTTTGTTGAGAAACAACTAACAAACACCCAAGTCGTTTTTAATATGATTTCAAGTTCTGACTTTATGCTAAGGATGAACCAATACTTTTATGGTTTATAAACTATAACTTATAAGTCAAGGTTGTGTTTTTAAATAGAACATTAAAAATAGTTTTTATTTAAATATAGTAAATAAACCATTAAAAGTATAGGTCAAGCCCCTCACTCCCCCTACTGTATTCAATTTATAATCATTTAAAATAAAAAACTATAATTTATATTAATATTTTAATTATATGTTTATTTTGACCTTTAAATAGATTTTTTAAAAATTATAGTTTCGAAATTATATTTTTCAAAATTAACTACCTTTGTCCCTTTTTAATGCTATTTATTACCCGACTATAATATAATATTTTAACTTGTAGTATATTTAAAGTTTTTGACACCAAAGTTTACGTCACTGATTTGAAATAACATATGTGTATATATTTACAGTTGACCACTTAATTGTCAAAAATGTATTTCCCATAGATTACATTAAAAATTAAGTGTAAAAAGTAGAAAGGTTCATCAATTAACATTAAAACATTTAAATCTAGCATAATGATAGTTTTTTAAGTTTAAAACTATTTATTTTACTTTTCAAGTATTTGGTCTCTGTTTTTTGGTCAATTAAAATATGTGTCTATTTGACAACTATAATATGACCTTTATATTTAAATTTTATATATTTTAATCAAAATTAATAAAAACATAAAAAAGTTTTAAAGAAAAATAATTATTTATTCTTCAAAATAAAAGTTTCAATTGATTTTTTCATTCCCGACATTTTCTCGATTTTATCCGCCTCGACTTTATTAAATTTTGTTTTTTTGAAATTAAACATCTTCGCTGTTTTCATTATTAAACTTTCTACCTCGCACTCCATAAATTCGACACAATCGACGTTACTAATTTCAATTCTTTTAAATTTTCCTCTATTAAAATCAATTTTCTTCACATCCCCAAATTTAATAGAAACTAAAGCCAAATTTTGTTCATTCAAACTAATGTCTAAATTATCAAAATCCAACACAGAGAAATCGACGTCTTCCAAAAAATCACCAAAAGAAATTTCTTTTTGAGTCACAAACAAGAATTTTGCTGCAAATTCTTTTGACACGACGTCGTCTTTTTTCAATACAAATTTCTTCACATTATTTTCTGAAAACAACATATTATACTTCATGTTGACATCGATCAAATTTGCATTGCTTTCAGTCATCTTTCCCACAATTTCGACAGTGTCATTTACTTGTTGCAAATTCAAATTTCTCAACTTTTTTTCTGAAAATTTAATGACAGTTCCAGTGTAATTACTCACAATAATTTCTCTAGGTGCGCACTGTTTACTCACAACATTCCCAGTCACTTCATTTATTTTGATAACTTCGACATTTGTTGGCAGAATTAATTCGTCGATGTCGCAACGAAGTATTTCAATTTCTTTAATGCAGTCGCACGTTTCTAAGTTAATATTAGCGTTATTAATTTTGATGTGTTCGGTGTAAAACGCCGAAGAAAAATTCTCTTTGAAGCCAAAGACGTGAACTTTGGTGACAAGACTCAATCGCATCTTCTCCTCAATAACACTAACATCACCACTGAAGTCTTGTAGTACCATCAACTGATTTGGAATTACAGACTTCCACAAGTCAAGTCCATCTCCAATAAATTCAGTGTGTTTCAAATTGTTGTATAAAAATGTCGTGTAAACAGTAACATTTTCTGGCAGATTAGAAAGTGTCGAGAGATCAACGTAGTCATCACTGAAAGATTGCGGTGTTAAGATAATCACAAATTTGGTGTTTTTCATTTTTTTAAAGTCAAGTTTGACAATGTAAGGTACACCTGCTAGTGTCAAGACAAAAGTGACTTTCTGTAGTGTGTCGTGACATATAATTCTCTCATAAGGAGTGTTGTCAGAAGACACGGAACTGCATGTGATCACAAGTTCTTTTAACTGCTCAAATGCAGTGTAATTGGTGTAGACCATTTCCATCTCTTGTGCTATAATGCGCATCTTGCGGATTTTGGGAGGAAACCACTTTGTCTTAAACAACTGAGAAACACCCGAAGAATACGACTGCAAGTTCATTTCGACTATTGGAATGGAATTTGTGTCTATTTTCTTCATTCGTGTTGAGTATGAGTTAAAATATAGTGTTTCTATATTTGGGAAAAAAAGTAGGATCTTTTCAATTGGAGACTTCAAAGAAAGTTTGTATGAGTTCACATACATCGATTTGACAGAAGATAAACACTTGTTGTTTATCAAGATAAATTGGAAGACGTCTTCTATTGTTGGTATATATAAGATGACATTTTTGAGAAATACAGACTCAAGAACAACCATTTTATTTGATTTTTTTTGTTCGTTGATTTTTTTTTAAATAATATAAAAAAGAGGTTTTGTGCTTTTATTAAATAACAACAAATTATTTTAATACTTTTTTACAAAACATTTTGATACGTTGTTTTATGAAAAATACAATTCATCGATTATTTGAAGTTATTTGGTACTTTTTGGACAATCAAATATAAACCATTGCAAATCAGATTATTGATATTTATTTCATTGTTTTAGTTTTTCGTGTTTTTTAAACTTGTTGTTTTCACTAAACTTAATTAATATGTCTACAAAATATGTTAAAAGTCTGAATTCTTTATTATTTATTGACAATGAAACTTTATTTTAATAAATATTTGATTAATCCATTGTTTTTTCAATAGATTGATTAAAATTTTACTATCATTTTTAGTATATTAATAAAAACTAATATACAGATCAAAATAACAATAATAACGAAGAATTGTATTGTTTTAGACAATATATTAATTTGAACAATTTAAATAGTTCAAATACAACGAATCCAGAATATAAGTTATGAGAAATTTATTATTTAATTATTTTTTAATAATAATGGAATAATATTTAAATATTTGAAATGAAATTATACATGCGTAGACAAATCACTAAATTTTCCCTGTTATTTTTCTTCTTGGCAGGCCTGGATTAGCCATTACCAACTTCAAAAGATTATTAGTGTTTTTCATTCATTTTGGCTACTTTTTGCTGCACAAATCATTATACGAAATTATGGTAAGCAAACCACTTTTATT